GGCAAGTACGCGTCTGCAAGTATAGTACCCCAAAGTTACTTTCAATGGCGCTTTACTCGAAAGCATGTCATAAAATTTTAGAAACGCATCCCCCGATCATTCGCAGTCATGCACCTGTGATTGTCTTGACATCCGGATACACCGAATTTGCCCAGTCGTACGCCCTTTCCAAGCCCGAGCGTTGGTAGTCCTATTAACCATGTCATCCTACAACCTTCGTCTTCTGATGTTGTTACTGGGAATTATAAAGAGGATTACAGGTAAAAAGTATCTTCTATCAGTGCTAGATTGTGACGGGGATGTAAATATATGACGAGCAGTTAGTTGCAACCCAATGGACGTATCCCGGTTTTATGCAAATATCGCTGCTAAATCACCAATTCAAACTGCATTTTATTGGTACGTTCATTAGTTAATTTTCTCTCTTCATTACGACCAGCCTACTGGACGTGTCAACCGGTATCCATCTTGCCAGTTCCATGCCATTTTACTGATATCTACTGGCATCCACTGACGATGTAGAGGCGGTGCTCTTATCGGCATATCACCTCCGAGGTGAAGACAGTAAGATCCGCATCTTTCCGGATGTTCCATGGAGCGAACGTCAGCGAGAAAAAAACAATTTAGACGATCGCAACACGGCCAGCTGGCGAAAAACCATTTTAGTTCATGGTGTGCCCGAGCTACCAACAGATAGGGACGAGGAGGCTCATGCTCACGATCTGGAAGAATGGCGGTACATCCGTGAAACTCTATCTGCAGGTGACGTCATCCTTCAGTCGATTTCTAGACTGCCCGCTTTACCTCTTTACAAAGGTAATGGTCCAAGGATACTGAAACTTGTGGTTCAGTCCCAGCAGATGGAGGCGAACTTAATGCGTAACTGGCATAAAATGCACAATGCACTGTCTTCGCAACTACGATTTAAGGTACCATTTATTGAATCGAAGCCACCAGAGGATGTGACACCATCTGTGGCTCAATGTGATAAAATAAACGGAGCCGAAGACACTGCATCAAGATTATCAACCACTGAAAACGACGCTATTGAAGAGCGTTTCTGCGTGTGCAGGAACGACGTTAGGTGGGCTGCAGGCCCCGTGCAAAATGTTCATCGATAAACTGCGCAAAAAACGATCAGGTGCCGGCCTTTCATCGGCCGGCTTGAATCCAACTTCGTGTAATCCTCCACAAGCTCTTTTGGTGCTCAAGCAGCTGTCCTGTATGTACACTAATGCTCAAAGTCTAATTAACCAACTACCCGAACTGCGACTACGTCAAAGGTCCAAATCCTGTGACTTCGTCGCTATAACGGAGACGTGGTTGCGCCCGGATATCACAGACACGGAGGTCGAGCTACCAGGCATGTCCGTCGTTCGGCGCGATCGATCCAGTAAAGGGGGCGGGGTGGTTCTCTACTACCGCAGTGACCTGCAATGTGATCCCATAGAAGACGTGTACAGTAACGTGCAGGATACTCTTTGGTGTCGGCTGCGTTTAACAGGTAAGGACGTCTGTCTGGTGGCGGTCGTTTATCGACCTCCATCCTCTACACCAGAGATGGACTTCAACCTCGCGTCTGCGCTGAGGCTTGTGATCAGCAGGAGATACAGCCATATTCTTATCGCTGGTGACTTCAATATCCACGCTCTGGATGCCCAAGCAACACCTACGGAACAGTTCAAAGCAGATCTACAAGACCTTGTCTCCAGTTTTCCGCTTCATGGCAATATCGACAATCCCACCAGATTCAGAGCAGCAGAAAGGCCGTCCATCCTGGACCGGATATTTGCCAACGAATAACTCATGGTCGAGAAAGTAATCATCGACGCTCCTTTGGGTTGCAGCGATCATGCAGTTTTACTCTTCGATTATATATGCTACGCAGAATACCCTGCGGATACTACACGGGAAAGCCGAGTTATCATACGATAAGATGAGCTGGCTCGACTTGCAGAGACAGCCAACTGGAACTTTCTGACAGACCAAGTACCGACAATCGCATGGCCACATTTCGTCAACCAATTTAGCACTCTCGTCGAAGAGGCATCCGAAACTAAGGTTGTCCACTCGAAGAAGACTGTTTCATTTGTGCGAAGTAGGACACGGAAATGTATGGCAGTGAGGAACTCGGCCTGGCGTATCTATAATGAACACCCGAGCACGGAGAGCTGGACGGCCTATGCAATTCAACGTAATCATTGCACTCAACTCGTTCGTGAGGATAAACTGGCATACCAGCAGCATCTGACGGAGCGCATGGTTTCGAATCATAAGCTGCTCTACCAACATGTAAACAACCTGCGCAAGGTGAAACGAGGAATCTCTCCTCTTCAAACGCCAGATGGCATGACGCTGACTACGGAGGATGCGGCGAACGCCTTGCGGCTGCAATATGCCTCGAACTTTCAATGAATTCCTTGGCCATCTGTTCCTTTGTCAGCAGCTACTTTACAACCAAAACTTACGCACATAACTTTCACGGCGGGGATGGTATTAAAGAAGTTGTTGTGTATGCGTAAGCACAGCTCTCCTGGAATCGACAACATTCACCCTAAGTCCCTTGCGGTACTGGGAGAAAGTTTAGCAGAGCCTCTGGCACGATTCTTCCAACGCTGCTTCGATCAGATGTATGTACCCGAGATGTGGAAATGTGGGATCCTAACCCCAATTCACAAGGGCGGTAGCCGTTCTGATCCAGCCAACTACCGTCCTGTAACCCTTCTCCCGGTCCTGTCGAAGATTATGGAAGCTATTGTTGCTGACGTATTAACAGCCTATCTAGAAGAGTCTGCCTTCCTTGCACATGAACAGCATGGTTTTCGACGGAATCGATCGTGCACCACAAATCTGCTGCTAGCAAGATCGAGTTGGACCAAATTAATTGACAGCGGTGCAGGAGTGGACGTGGTCTACCTAGATTTCTCAAAGGCCTTCGATCGACTAGACCATGGAATCCTGATCTGCAAACTTCAGAGCTTCGGCATTGGTGATCCGCTCCTAGGATGGATCACAAGCTTTATTCTCCACCGGAGCTTAGAGGTAAAAGTGCGTGGGTCCCTGTCCCACCCAATCCAAGTCGAATGTGGTGTGCCACAAGGATCGGTACTGGGGCCACGATTGTTTTTGATGTATATTGACGATATAGCGGCCCTCATTCTTTCCAACTGCCTACTCTATGCCGACGACATCAAGGTCTGGAGAGCGATCAATACACCAGACGACTCCGCAATACTTCAAGTGGATCTGGATAAGGTGTATGCGTGGTCAGTTCAGAACCAACTCCCACTCAACACAGAAAAGTGCAGAATATTACATTTACGTTACCAATCAGCATTTTTCTATAAACTGGGTGACCATTTGCTTCACACAACTGCTGAGGAAAAGGATTTGGGAGTCTTGATTCAGTCCGACCTTGGTTGTTCAGCCCAGGCAAAGAAAGCCTCGAACGCGAGCATTCGAAATTTGGGCCTTCTCCGGCGCACATTTGGACGCTTTGATCCATCCTTTTTCCACCAACTTCTAGGTGCATACATACGGCCACACATGGAGTATGCAATACAAGTCTGGCAGCCGTGGCTGAGGAAAGACCTCTCTGATTTAGAGAAACCTCAACGACGCGCAACGAAGAACGTGAAAGGTTTAGGTCAGTTACGCTACGAAGACAGACTGAGATCGCTCGGGATATTTAGTGGTCAATATCGAAGACTACGGGGAGATTTGATTTTGGTTTATCAGATTCTGACAGACCCCAATCATACCTGCCGCCATCTGCTGGAGCTCAGTAACAACAACACACTGAGAGGCCATCATCTGAAGCTGGCAGTGCAGTACAGCCGTTTGGAATGTCGACGGAATTTCTTTTCCGTGCGTGTTTGCCAAGCCTGGAATGCTCTCCCAGAATCTGTAGTCAGTGCACCAAACCTGATCGAGTTCAAAAATCGAGTTGATGGTGCAATCACTTCATTGCGCTATCTCCCATAGTACAGTCTAATTTTGAGAGGTCCAAAATCCATACTTTAAAAATAATTTTCCCTCACGCAAATTTCAACAGTGGATTTATATTTTGACGCTTCAAACTCAAACACTTTACCCCATGCGAATTTCAAGGGGCGGTGACTCTTTTAACCAAATACTCCATACCTCATGATCCCCTCCGGAGTTATAGTGGACTATTATTTTGACATTTCAAACTCGGTGAGTCCACAAGCTTGTAGTGACTCGCTGTTAAACGATTTTACTGAATTGGTTTCCATTGAATTTTTCACACTTCTATGATTTTCGCACTGATCACCCTACGGGATTTGTCAAGCATTAGCTTTTATACCCGCATAAATCCATTGTTCCATTGTTCCATTGTACTGCGATTTTGGGTGACTCAGTAAGGCTTGAAGGCAAAAGGACATGCGCTTTCATTTTACATCTTGGATGAAAATTTGGCTTGTGATTATTGTTATTGCATGGGTAAAAGTAACAACCGGTGATTGGTGATGGGACTGAGTGAATATTTGGCAGTGGTCAAGTAGTATATGTGTAACGATTTTGGTTTCCGTAGTCAGCAGTGTCGTGCATAAGTATGTTCCTTTATGTGATGAAGATAGTGCTTTTTCTATTAGAGACTAGCCTTCACGAAGTCAGTCTGTTACCTATTGACGGATCACTGCCGATTTAATCAACAGCAACATCGAGTCAATTTGCATACATACGTAGCGCCTGCACATTCAGGTGAGCGATACGTACTGTTGTATCCGTCTAAGTAAAGCGACGGGACTCCAGACAGCGAAATAATATAAGCGCTTACTACACGCGAATAATTGTGCTATACGTCCGATTACTTAAATAGTTACTTTCATTTCATGCCACAGGTTTAAATCTATCAGATACGTAAGTTGCAGGAGTAGCATGTGGGAAGTAATTTGTGTGCAAACCTTTTAGTTCGTAATGTAAATGCGATACTTTCCTGTTATTTTTTCTGACGGCCTTGTCATTCACTCCCAATTAAGCGCACTTGCCAGTGCTAGCGTGCCACTTATCGATCGGATATTTAAAATCTTGTGAATGACTGAGCGATGGACCGCATGAGTGAGTTAAGCTAGATTTTTGTTATTCGATGACAAGTTATGCAAACATTGTATTCGCGAGAATGCTCATTTGACACTACCATCTGACACACTTTTGTGAAAATGATATTGCAACAAAATGTCGTGTTAACGCTTGTGAGACATGTTTAAGCGAGTTAAGTTCTATTGATAATGTTTACGAGGAGAAAATATTCATACATATTGCTCACTCGTATCTAGCCAAAAGCACACTATGTGTAAATGTGTATTTGTGCAAATGTTATGGGTTGTAATATCCCATGGTTTCACTGAAGTTTAATGTAGTCATATAAGTAGAACATTCAATAACAGTTATTAAAATTCCACCCAACATCATTATAAACATTAGGTAGGGCTATACTACATCTCGGCTACTGTGCTGCAATACATAAAAGAAAAAATAAGAAAATAATTGCAACAGTTGCATGCCAGCTGAGCTACCAGCAGTGAATGGGCGTCGTTCCGGAAAGCTGCTAGCCGGTTATAGACAAAAAAAGTATTATTGTAACATTACATTATGCTACGAACTGAGATCGTCGTTGGCGAGGAAGGCTAAAAGGGATGAGAATGGACAAATAAAATCACTTCACGAACGCCAATGAAATCGACCCCTAGCCATGTCAGCAATTGTATCCAGCCAAACCTATTCATCCTATTTCGGATCCCAACCAGGTAGCCGAGATACTCCAACCGAGGCCAGCTTCGAAGTTAGGGCATTCATCCTCTCAACAAAGTCATCGTTTAGCCAACTCTCCTCTTCCACCCACACCCCCGGCACGCAAACAACGCAAGTCGCGGGAATCGGTGGGCTGGCATGTGTAACACGTTGCCGAGCAATCGGAGCCTGGTGCGTTAAATGACTGTGCTGAGCGGTTCATTTCCTTTCCCTGTGCCTTAAACATGGCGTCGAACATGATCTTTGCTTACTCGGTGTTCCCACCAGATGTGAGCTAAAGTGCGAAGGCACCGGTGGTCAAACTTAACTAGCCTCTTTATGTCCACTGGTCTAAGGGGCTAGGTTTCGCTGCATCGTACACTCTACGCAGCATGACCAGGTTAATTTCGCACTGCCGCTATATGTAGCGAAGGCTAGCAAAAGCACCTCGAGCTTTTGCTATATGGTTCGTGATCTCAATTTCGATCCCACGGACGCTGATACAACTTTCTAGGTTGTTGTATTTTTGAACGACTTCTAGCTGATCCCCACCAAGGGTCAGCGCAGGAGGCGATCCAGGCCAATCTTCGAGGAACCTTTTGCAATTCGTCGGTTAGAAGCAGAGCCTGAAGCGGTTGACAGCCAGTGATAATCAGTCCAGTGCCGCTTGACACGTCTGGGAGCTGTCACAGATCAGGGCATTGTCGCCTGCATACTCCTAGTCATGAAGTCGTTTTCCAGGCAGCAGATCCAGACTTTCCAGTCGTGTCCTGTAAATGCAATCTCCATGACCATCAACAGTGATGCGGAAGAAGAAATGGGACAACGGACATCCTTGTCTCACACTGCTAGAGATATTGAATGGCAGCGACAGCTTGTCGTAAACCCTCACACTGCCCGTGCTACGCGAGTATAATGCTCAAAAAATATTTAATTATTTCTCGGGCACCCCATTTCTGATTAGACAATCCCAAAGTGCAGATTGATCAACTGAATCGAATGCACCTTTGACGTCGAGGAACTGGACTATGATGAGCCGGCATATGTGTGACGGGGCTCCGACAATTGAAGGAAAGTGTATTTGCAATCAATGCAGCCAACATCCTGACGAAGCTCAGTTTGCTCTTAATGAATATGGCTTTCACTAGTGCCAGTCATTCTGTGACGGATGACAAAAGCAAGCAATTAGGAGGCGATGCAGATCCGACTGATTCCTCTATGGTTGCCGCATTCCGAACGAGAAGACTCCTTTGACGATGTGAACCACAACGGATCGGCTCCATTCGGTTGGGCAGTTTCCTGCACCCACAGTTTCCATTGTAGTTCGTCTAAATCATCCAAAAGAGCAAGTCCCCGAATTTGAAGAGGGCTGGATGGACATCATCTGGTCCCGCGGCTTTGTTCAACTTCAACACTGCGCTCTCACGTTTGACTTCTGAGCGTGGGGGTGGATCCAAACAGACAGCACGAGGAATGGGGCGACCAATAGCCGGTGAGGAATCGAACCATTTCGGCTGATGAAATTGCCTTTCAACTTGCTCAATCCACCATCCCAAACGTTTTGGCAAATTGTGAATAAGCTGTCCACTCTCGTCATATATTGTTTCCCTAATACCAAGTCTCCTGCTGCCCATTTCCCGGATAAGACGGAATAACTTTCGATGGTTACTAAGTGCAGCTGCCATTGCCATCTCTAATGCACGAGAAGACCACCAGGATCCGAGGTCTCACTTCAGGACAGCACGGAGTATTGCCCAGAACTCTTAGCGAGTTCCAATGTGTTCGCTTCCATCCGGAATATACCGGCGAGCATCGATAAGTTCTAGGCACCGTGAATATACTCATTGCCTATGTTGGCGATTAGACTTACTACATGAGGATTTGCCTGCTGCTGATAGCGTCTGGTGAATATGCGACCAGTGACATTCAAGTGTCTGCAGTGAGCGTTTACTCAACCCACATATCAGTGTATTTCGATAGCACTCAGAATAGCTAGCTTCGCCAGTTGACTGACGTCAATGCGCTCACAAAGTCGTCGTGGGTATCCAGCAAAACGCATTCGCATGTCAGCACATTCAAGTGCATGGTCGGTGTTCACACATATGCTCGAAACCAAGCAACAGTTCCGTACGAAACCTATCCTTCATTAACTGATTGCCATGTGATCGATTTGCATCCATAGCTGGTTCGGAGCTGGTGAGCGCCATGTCACCCTCCGGCGTGTGCCATTTCAGAAGTTAGTTGTTACAAGAAATAAGCGGGTGTCTTCAAATAAATGGTAATCACACACCGTTATCAGTACGGGAGCCTACACCTTGTTGATCGCCCAGATGCATTTCATCAGTGGATAATTTTCCAACTTGAGCTTTCAGATCCCCAGCCAGTACAACAGTGTCCGTGCTTCTTCAGTGGCGAAGGAGTTTGGTCTGATGGCAGTAGAAGTCGTATTTTATCTAACCATCCCTACAGTTTGTGGGCGTCTAGGCAGCGATGAGCAAATGACACCGATTAGTCCAGCTTGACTTCGAAGCTTTGAACGAGCCAGCCGATCAGACCGCACACATCCGGCTACCCATTGGAATCCAATCAAGCAGAGCAGCTTCAGCCCGCGGACTCAGTGCAATACCAACGCCAATCTGGTCGGTGGTAGAAGCTGTATCGTAACTCAATAGGAGCAGTGAGAAAATACTGCTGATGTCACCTGAAGGGGCTCGGAGAGGGAGCACAGAGCTTGAGTCTTGCACGCGGATTTCCGATAAGCAGTAGATATTGATGTAGAGGGTCCCTAAAGTTGGGGCAGTTGCTGCCTCTTTACCGATCTGCAGTAATGTGCGTACACTGAGGCATGGAAACCTGAAGGAGGATCGAGGACTTCAAATGGAAGCTGATGAACTGGCGTGGAACGCTATGTTAGCCATGGGCTTTTCAACAGGACTGGAGTGATGCTCCGCGTTGGCATGTGAGCTGGAACTAGAAGACAAACGCCTAGCATTGCATAAGGGGGAGAGCCAAAGTGTAATCTCGGCAGTCTAGCAACTAGACACAGAGCCAAAAAAGCCATGGATATTAGCGGATAATATCGTGGCATAGTAGTTGAAGGTGAGCAACACACTTCAGCTAATATGCTACAGGAAGAAAGGTACATTTTGACAAAAATGTATAATGAAACAATTTTAGTTTGTTTTTCACATGCCTATTTTGTTATTTTTGTCATTTGCAATGCTTGAAGTCTTAAACATATAAATCACTACACTTCTGTAAACATTTCTTCCACTGATTCCGGTTGCGGGCCGTCTCCTCAAGAGTGTTACACCATTGGCACTCCTCATCTTTGCATCCCTGTTCTGGAAGATGTGCGTGTCCAACAGAGGCTATACACGACGTCAGCGATTTCATGTGTTGTCGCCATGTGGAAAGCTGAGCACAACGCGGTCGCCTCCAGCCAGGTCCGTGACGAGTGAATAATGCTCGATGCGGTAGACGCTCAGGTGTCATGTGTAGGAGGTGACCGAGCCATCTCAACTGACGCAGCAAAACCAGTTTCTTGAAGGGAATACTGCATTCCCTAAGACGCCAGGTTGAACGTTATTACGATTAACTTAATGTTGCCAGCAAACACAAGCAATTCTCATTAAGCAACCGTTATCGAAGGAAGAAAGTTGAAGCAGGTCTTCCACGCGCATCGTCCAGGACTCGCGCCCGTACAGCAAGGCTGAGCGAACTTGTGCGCTGTAAACGTGAAACTTTAGCGACCCTTTAGCGTCGCGACGACACCACAAGTGTCTCAGATTAGTAATGATGATCGAGCTTTAGAGATGCGAAGAGAAACTTCTTTGCTGATAGCGCCGTCAGCAAAAACACGGCTCCCAAGGTAATCCAAACTATCCACTGGTTCAATTTGTTCACATCCGGGTGGTGTGGACGATTCGCAACTGGGAGGTTGTGTAAGTGCGTTTCATAGCAGACCGAGGTTTGCGTCCAATATCGTTTGAGATAGGGTCAAGTTTGAATGGCAGCAACAAATAGAGAGGCTTTTTCTCTGCCGTGAGCTTTTGTGTCCTTAATATTTGGTCTGATGTAGGTCTGGATAAAACTTTCCAGATACCCATTGGACCGTATGGTCTTACGTAAAAGTCTTCAACGTCTAGTTTCTCCACACTACAAATTTGCCTGGCCCTATATTATAGAGCATTTACAAAACCGCGTTTGTATGCAACGGGAACAAAGCTATTTAGATGAAGGAATTGCCTGCTCCAAGTCGCTATGCGCTAGACAGTGCGCTGAAGTGTACCATCGATCCGCTCTTGATGAAAATATCCAAAAAAGGA